CTATTATGAAGTATCATCTTGGCATCCTGCCAAAGGTAAAAATGTCTGTTTTCTCTTACAAAATTCTTAGTGACTCCAAGAAAAACTCTTTGCAGCCTGAACTAAGGTTAAAGAATAGTTCAGATCCTACCATGACATGTTTGGATTAATCATTTGTGGTTAAGCTAAGTTAGAATGTAGAGTTCATGATGGGTTTATGAAGTATGCAGGTATGGAAATCAGGCGTTCAGTTTGTATTCATATTTAATTCCTGCAGGAGAAGAGAGGACTGGAGGGGTTGCTGCTTGTGTCCTAGTCTAGGGGTTTATATAGCACTTGAGTCAACACTATTAGTCCAAATTTATGCTATTCAGTATTTGGGTAAGTACCAGTGCTATTGCTACTTTTGAACATGGACTTATGTTCAGGTCTGCTCCACTTAAATTTTTCCACTATTCCTGGGAAGTGGAAAGTTGAAGTTGTCAGATCATGAATGCTTGGGGTTCTGAGCTTTGGCACTTTGTGGAACACGCATCTGCACCGGCCTGCACCTGGATTGCCTTGGCATGACAGGTTATTACCCCTGGCTCACCTCAGGCCTGCTGTAGCCTCTGCCTGTGCCTGCCACCCGTGTTCCACTGTTCCACCACCATTTCTTAGTGGGGATTATTTGGCTGGCTGTGCAAGTGAGCAGCTGGGGAGCCATGTCACTAGTAGGTACATTGCCCAACTATGTTTTGGAAATGGCAGGTTTTCACTGGAAAAATTAACAATAATGTAAATTCTATTGGATGTAATTTCAAAATTTATAAGAATTCGGCCTTGTCATCTACCTAACTGTACTGCCAACCAAATATAATTCTGGAATTGTGGAAAAGTGTGCCTTTGAAGTGCAGTTACCTAGTGGCTTAAAAGTTTAGCAGGATCACAGAAGAGGAAACAGATAAAAGTATTTAGTACTGAGGTTCATTGCCAGGGCAAGAAGTATTTCAAGAATCACTCCTGCCTGTGCTTTTTACCTTGCATTCCCAAGTATTGCATGTGACTTTCTTGAAGCGGCAACTAAAGGACGTGAGCCTGTGTTGTCTCTTTGGGTTATTAAGACATTAAAGGGTATTGCCATCTTTAGGGGCAAAGAATTTGATATTTCTTTACATCCATGGACTTGGTTTGGAGACATAAGGAATATTCTGGCCCTTAAAAAAAGAATTTTCTACTATTTTTATTAACAAAAGTAACGTTCTATCTTCTGTGGTGTTATTTTACTGAATAAAATTGGACTAACTGGAATTTTGTGATAAAAGTGCACATTATAAAATAAGTTTGGATTAAAAAGTAAAAGAATTCTAGGGTTGGTTTTTTTTTAAAGTATTTTTTAGTTGTTGATGGACCTTTATTTTTATTTATTTGTATATGGTGCTGAAAATCAAACCCACTGCCTCATGCACTCTACCACTGAGCCACAACTTCAGCCCCTCTAGGACATTTTTTAAGACAGTAATCAAAAACAACCCTGGAATTTAGATAGTGTTACCTTTGGAATTAGGTATATGAATATTAAAGTGTATACCCCTTTTGAGTTTACACTTAATATTATGATGGTAGTACTCTAATGTGCTTAAGGTATAAGTTCCAAACTGCTTTTAATGCTTGCCTTTTTGTTTTGTTTTTTAATAATATTTTTTATTTACATTATCAACAACTTACATGATCAACAACTGGAGAAATGCAGAAGACTTCATACCATTTTGATTCACATCACCATGGCACAACTTAGTGAATGTCTTTCTGCTCAGTCTCTTTGATTGTTCTTTTCTAGATTATCCATAACTGCATTCATCATTTAGTGTGTTCTAAATCTTCTACAAGTTCGTGCTTAAGAAATTTGAAATTACTTTTCAGTATTAACTAAAATCCAAATTAACTATAATATAAATTTAAAGTTAATTTTGCTACTATTACAGCAATTAAGTTCAACATAATAGACAGGGCTGGGGATGTGGCTCAAGCGGTAGTGCGCTCGCCTCGCATGCGTGCGGCCCGGGTTCGATCCTCAGCACCACATACCAACAAAGATGTGTCCGCCGAGAACTAAAAACAATAAAACATTAAAAAAAATTTTCTCTCTCTCTCTCTCTCTCTCTCTCTCTCTCTCTCTCTCTCTCTCTCCTCTCTCTCTCTCTCTCTTTAAAAAAAAAAAAAAAGAAACATAATAGACATTAGTGACTCTTGGTGGCCTGTCTATGATCTTTTAAAATTACTTCCTGTGTTTGTGGAATTTCTTTCTTTTACTCCCCGCAAGATAAAGACTAAACATTTGCTTTCCATTCTGTCTTGCAGGTTAGATTAGGGTTGTACACTTGAAATCTTCCTCTAGGCACCCTGAATTACTGTTAAAGATCAGTGCACCTGGCATCCAAAGGAATTTATCCAGTTATTCTTGAACTTCCAATGGCATTTGACACAGCTACTCCCTTCTTAAGAATTGTGACCTCTGTACCTGTTACCCTTTATTACCATTCACCCTCTTTATAGGTTATTTTATTTATCCTCCTGGCTTTTAATTTCTTCTTCTATGTGAATAACATCTTAATCTCACCAGTCTTCATTACAGTACTTCAGAACTATATCCAGCTGCCTATTGATCATCATCTGATCATCAGACAACATCACCTGGTTATCTCCTCACCTCAAATACATGTCCTAAACAACTCACTTTCATTTTTTAAAACCCATCATATTAAATTCTCTAATTTGGAGGAAAGCATCTATTATTTAGTTATCTAACTTAGAAACCTTGGCATCTCCTTAGATGTCTACCATTCCTTTTTACCCAGTCCAATATGTAATTGAGACCTGTTCTGTTTCTTTTCCATTTTTCATATTAACCCAGTATAGTTCCTTTGATTTTTAGACCCTCCTCATCTCCTTCCTAGAATAGGCCAGTGGGCTCTGTCTGCTTTCCTTTCTCTAATTGGGTAAACACTTCCTCGGTTGTTAAGCATTCCCATATATGAAAATCTTTAGTTGTTCTCCAAAGCCAATTCTGTACTTTTGGGAGTTCTCAGTATCCTTGTGTTTATTCTTATCCCACCACACCTTGAGTTTTAACAGGCAGAATCACTGACAGTTTTTCTTGCTCACTTTCCCTCTACCTAGAGAATTGTCCCTTTTCCCCGTTATTCCAGTTATCTTGTACCTAGTGTATTGCTAGGCATTCGTGCAGTGATATTGGTACCGTAGACCTTATAATGAAAAAAAGTCCTCCACTCTATTCTTCCCCTGTGGTAACTTACCTTTTTTAGCTGGATTGCTTCTGGTCTCTGCCTCCATGTTTCTAAATACATCATTGTAAGCCTTCTTCTGCCTCTTCCTAAACAGATGTCTCAGAATAGTCTGTACTCAATCTCCACCTCCTTAATTTCCATTCAGTCTTCAACTCAAGGAGTAAATCCAGAAAAAGATGGCAGTGATTCAAGAAATAGGGAACCCTACACAGAGAAGAGGAAAAGTGATTCCTAAGATAATGAAAAGGAAGTCTTAGTCTAATAACTGGGCAAAGAACCCTGAGTTCATATGGGAGCAGAAAAGTAATCTGGGCTCCCCAGCAAGGAAGGTGGAATCAATTACACGCTATGTCTCCATTCTAGGGAAAACATGGTTATACAGTAATAAAAAGCAAGGTATACTACTGGCTTAGCTAAGCATAACATACCAAACTTCATAACACAAAGACTGATTACAGGTTTGTTTTTTGATGTTGTTTTATCTCTAACTTGAAATTGTGAATACAAAAGAGTAGGAGGAGAGTCTTAGCAAAACTTCCGTTTTCCAAGAAGTCAATAGATTATCAGAATTCTCTTGTCTTTCCCATATTGAATCTGTGGTGTTGGATCCTGTGTCTGTCTGTCTTTCTTTACTTTTTTTTTTGTTTTGTTTCCTTTCTCCAATAATTTCCTGAGAAGTAACTCCAGGATACGTTGGATATGCTTTTATTTTTTGAGGTCTTGTGTGTCTGAAAATATCTTGATTCTGTCATCATCCTTAATTGATAGTTTAAATGTGAGATTGATTAAAACCCATTTTTCCCTCTGAATTTTAAAGGCAGTATTAGATCTTTATTTTCCTGCTTTCCCTTGATAAAATCAATATTCTTATTTGTGACTGTTTTTTCTCTGGAAGGTTTTTAAAATCTGTGTCCTGAAGTTTCATGATTATGTGTTACCCAGAATTTCTTTTCATTCATCATACTGGGCATTTGGGATGAACTCTTTTATTTTTTTAATATTTATTTTTTAGTTTTAGGTGGATATAATATCTTTTTTAATTTTTATGTGGTGCTGAGGATTGAACCCAGTGCCTCACTGGTGCTAAATGAGCACTCTACCACTTGAGCCACAACCCCAGCGCCCCCCAGGATGAACTCTTTTCTTTTTTGAGAGAGACAATTTTAATATTTATTTTTGGTTTCCGGTGGACACAACATCTTTATTTGTATGTGGTGCTGAGGATCGAACCCAAGCTGCACGAATGCTAGGCGAGCGTGCTACTGTTTGAGCCACATCTCCAGCCACCCAGGATGAACTCTTTTAATGTAGAAGTTCGTATGTTTGATTTTGGAAGACTTTTTTTTTTAAGAGAGAATTTTTTAATATTTATTTTTCAGTTTTCCGTGGACACAACA